ACCACAACAGACAGGTGGAAGCAACCCACCTGAGGAAAATCGGGAAGGGTGCGGAAACGGGGCGGGCAGGGAGAGGGGGGGACGCGCCGGGGTGAGCCCAAGACTAATTTGCATTTATATTCATAATCTTAGGCATTGCGTCATGAAATATTGCATGTCCCGAACTTGTGACACTTTAATTGCCCATTTGGTACTAAGCCTACACTGGCCGACATTTCGGCGCTTACATTAAATCCAAATGTCCTGAAAAGCGTCATTAATCAACATGGGAACTGTACTGATTCCATAGAACCTACTTTTATATATATCTATAAATGTAAAGATTGTTCTGCTCCTTGTGTTTGAGATTCATTTTATTAGCCAGGTTTAATTTATTGCAATTTATACCCTGTTCTTTTGGTGCATTTGGAAGTGGACTCATTCTTGGGCTCAGGCACCCACCTACTCGTCCAGATCAATGCCACGTGCACCTCCCAACCCTCGGAACCTGCTATATTCCCTTTTTCCTGGCTGCTCCAATATATTCTCGTAAATCGTTGTCTATATGGGTTGTCTGTTTCGCTGACTACGTGACTTTTTCGCATTTTTGCGCACGCTGCCTGCGACTTGCAGATCGATTTTCAGACGCGATCCAAAAGATCCATGCGGGTGCATAAGGAAAGATACAAATACAGATACAACTACACATACAGGGAATCGGACTGATCTGAATGGCAGGGCAGACAAACCACAGTTTGAGATGTTAAGTTGTTTGTTTGTTGTGGGCACTTCGGGATCGGCTCTGTTTGGATTGCTGATAAATGTCTAAAAATACGCCAGGCAGCATCAACATGAAAGATACAATGTGTGCCGAGTTGGAAGGGTTCCATGGAGTCTGCTCTTCGTCTGGCTTTATCTCGTTTGGAATTTTCTGAATTTTATCGACAACATAAAGCAATTTAATTGCAACATAAATCAGAGACCACAACATGTGTTGAGCACTCGATGATAGCGGTATGATGTATTTATATTCAAAGTAATATATCTGCGTCCGCCATTTTCCCCACGGTTTCCCCATCCACTTGCTTTCTACCGGCTTTTTAATCCCCAGCCCCCATTTGGCGGCCATAGCCAAGCGTAAAGAGATGTAAAGACATGCTCGAGAGTGCCACTCAATGTGGCAAGCCATGGAAAATGGGAAATGGGGCTGGATTTTCTGCCAGCAACAGGACAAAATGTGAACCGAGCGTAAACTGCCATTTTGCCATTTCAAGCATGAAGAATGCGAAAAAAATAACGTGAGAAAGGTATATGAAAATAAAAGTACAAATGAAAATTCTCGAAAAGAAATCACAACTTTATTGTACGCATTTTTATTATGGGGGTGGCTACCGTTTTGAGTGGTCTTCTCCCCACTGATAAAGGTTGGCTGACTCTCTCTCCGTCTCCTCGTAAACTGGCTTAATTAAAATGTATTAGTTCTGCCTGCCTTAATTCTTAAAAACAATATTATTACAAACAATCAAGCAAAGCCAAAAGGAAAATGTTGCTACATTGTTTGCGGCAAAAACGGAACTCTGGAGCTTGAAAATCTGGTAAGGTAATTAGAGGAAATGGTGGGTTCAAAACCAGGGCTTGTTAAGTACAATTATCAAACTCAGTTCCTCAGTTCCTTTCCTTTGAATTCTCCAGTGCCCTGAAATTAACGGCCAACATGAATTTCGAATAAACGACCAACCACACATCCGATTATTCTTCCTCCTTCAAGAAGTTATAACTATGTCCAATTGGCTCCAAACCAATCATCGTTCTCCGTCCTTTTGGATGGAACCCTTGTGGAAACATTGAAGTCCGTAGCAAACATGCTTGAAATGATTGCGGGAAATCCAGGACCCGAAAATCAAGAGTCAAGCGACCAGAAAGGATAACAACCAATTGCCACATGTCTGAGGACTTATCAGGAAATCAGGAGGATTCATTTAAATAACGGAGAAGCCAACATCCGGAGCTGAACAAATTATAACTCAATTTATACGCTTGTTTGCCCAGCCAAACTCGAGCTCAAGTCCCCAAGAAGTAACGATGGAGATGGCTGCCATCCTGCCATCCTCACAAAGGTCCAACTGGCAGGAAGGACACGAAAAGAAAACTCATTTTTGTGCTGCGCAAACAGTTCTCGTTCCGGACATTCGTCCCTTTGATTCCCCCCATATTCACTGACCGCCTCCCCACACATTAGGACTTCCTTTCCTTCCGATTTCGTGTCCTGGCTGCGATTGTGCGCATTATCCACAGGGGCGACTGGGGGCCTTGGGGGTGCTTCGCAGGACCTGGGTTGTCCTTTCGCTGGTGCAAAAAAAATGTATGATTTATGTTGTTTTAAATCCAAGTCCAGGCGGGAACAATCATCCTGAGAAGCCCCTTTTCCAAACTGTTTCCCAGGAGCACAGCGGTGTAAGATGTGAGGTCGTGAGCTAGTCGTGAGACTGCTTTATTCTGAATAATTTAATATCATACCGATATATTAAAAAATAATTAGTTTTTAGCCCTCTTCTTAATTTTCAAGTGCCTTTTAAAACAAACTCATGTGTTGTAGCATAAGTTGAGTGATCACCGCCTAATGATCTCCACACGATCAGCCATGCAAATCGCTGAACATTTCAATTGCATTTCCCATTCGTGAGTCACGCCCGCATCTCAGAGTGTGGCATATCTCTCCTGGACTTTTGTCCTCCGACTTCTGTCCTGTGGCGTGTGCATGTGTGTGGTTTCCACAGATTACACACAAAGGAAGCGAGTGTGTGTGAACGGGCACCGCCCACCACATGCAACCGCCCCTAACGAGAATCCAAGAACGGAACTGAACAGCCCGAACAGAACTGAGCTGAGCCGGGCCAACTGCGAGACCATTTAATTTGCTGTGGAGGTAATGTGCCATATGCCAGCGGCTCGGAGGAGCCGCCTCAGATTGAGTGCTAAACAGGCCGAGCACCACCCAACCGCTCAACTAAAACCACGCAGCCAGTGAACCACACTACCACTCAACCACTTGCAGCCCAAATTGCTGGCAAGGCTGCACAGCGAAAAATTCAGCATCCGCTGCTGGAATGAACCAATTTTGCATTGCCACTCATTTATTTAGTGTAGTGTATCTGCTTTCCCTATACAGATATGTGCTATATTATATACGTTTAGGGTAATACGTTTAGGATCGTAATAATCGGTTTTTTTTTGTTGATTCCTGGACATCTAGCGGTTCAACTATTTAGTAGCGGTTTCTTTCGGTGCGAAGGTAAAGCCCATGAGCGTGAGCTCGAAATTGACCCGCAGCCGTTGGCCATGCATCTGGAATTTATTACGCCCTGGCATTTGCATATTTATGAATAATGGAGGATAACCAGTGTGGCCAAGAGCATGTCCAGAAATTAAGACTAACCGCTGGTTGGTGAGGGGCGGGTAGGGTGAAATGAGGGAAAACGACCCCCGACCTCGCCGGCCTTTCGACTTTTCCATTTCTATAACCTTTGCATGCCAACTGAGATCCGTGGAGTGTGCGAAACTGATACACCGAAAAACGCACACACCTACACCGCAAACAATACCAGTGCACACTGGCCCTTGTGCTGGTATGTGTGTCCACACTCCAAGACATTGGTCACGAAAAGCGGAAATGCTGATAAGGAACTTCAATGTTTTTTTATTTCGTTGTCGTGTTTAATGTCTTTTTGTCGTGCTTAGTGTCTTTAGTGTGTGCTCTACTCCCCAGCACCCTTGTGTTTCTGTGTGTGCGCTGCCCGCCACACAATCTATATAGTATAATACTTAGTAGCGATTTAGTCGCTCGAAGAGCTGGGGCGGATCGCTCGGTGGTGGTCGAGCAGTCATAAGTCAAGTGGTTGGCCCTGGGAAAATGGGAATTTCATGTAAATCATTCTATTTAGCGGGAGTGGGCTCAGAACGATGAAATTGGGCGGCCAGCAATATCGCCAGATGTAATTCATATACTCGTATGTAATTGCCAAAAAAGGTTCGATTTGGATGAGTATTGCAGCAAAAGGGATGACAGACTTTCAATTCACTTTCGATTTAAGAAAAAGTAAATACAAAAATGCTGAGGACAGGAAAAGTGAATTAATAGTAAGCAGGCCAATTTTTGTTCGAGAAACACGAAGCTAATTTGAATTGCCATCGTAAAAGTCACATAAAGTGGAGCGTAAGTCACAATCCACCCATAACAGTGTCGTATTTGTCGATTTTGGTTGTTCGTAAACAAAAATCCCGACTTCAAGTGGCAGTTTGTGTTCGTCTGGCTCTCAGACAATGCCAGCCACTTATCGAATTTCACACTCGATTTGTTCTAGCCGACGGATGATGAGTTTCTCAAGAGCTCGAAATGAAGACTTGGCGCAGCTTCCTTTGAAGAGGAAACCGATAAAATCGATGAACTCTGTGACAACCGCATAGTTGGAAAGAAATAAATTGAAATTTATGCGGTCATAACAATTAGGAAGAAGTCAAGTGTCGCGCAGAAAGGGCGAACTCTCGCTCTGGATGAAAAGTTATCTTTGGCGCTGGATGTTCAATTTGTTTTCCTAGGGCGTGGGTTATCTATGAGCCTAATGCCCCAATGTGCGATCAGCCCGTGCACGTGACTGCGTACACACTCACCTGCCTGGGAAACTCCCCCCGGATATCATCTTAATTGGATTTAAAGCCTAGGCCTGCGTCCAATCCCTTTGTGTTTGTGGAAGGGCAACCTGCAACGACACTTAACCGCGGGCATATTTAATTTAATTTCTACGTATTTAACCCGAAACCAAGCCAATCCAGTGGGCAGCTGATAGTGGTAGTCGGCGGGTTACATACCCTGTTAAGGGTTACCTGTATTTTAACTGCTATGCGATGTTATAGCTACTGCAAACCAGAACTATAAAAGCTGGGCATTGTGTAGAACACAATGTGAGCACCGTAAGTTATACTTTACATTTTGGAAAAATCTTGAAAATAAGTAATCTTTTACCTTAACTCAAAGGCGTTAGTTTTCTTATTGTATACGGCGCATTTGAAAGTCTCTGAAAGTAGAAGGCAACATTAATACATTCAGGATTGACTTACTTGAAATATTTAATAAATTACTTATTATATAGACGGCAGCGTACCCTTTGCTAGAGTATAGCGTACCCAACCAAACCAAACCAATCTGAACCGAATCCGGGACATGGCAACAGAGGTCAGGGGTCAGAACAATGAGGGATTGCAGGTTGCACAAGGCTGAAACGCGCCACGCTTTAAAAATTTATGCAATTATGAGCCGCAAATATTATTATGTAAACATACAAATACAAGCTGGCCGGGGTGTTCGGCAAATGAGCAATGTCCTGCCCATGCTGTTCACGTTGTTGCGGCAACATATTGATAGACAATAATTTGTCTTAATGAAATTTTCCCTTTATTTATGAGATGGCCGAAACGTGTAGGAAATCTTTCACAGCCCGAGGCGACGGCGTTGCTAGGAAAACAATCTGCTGCCGGATATTTTGAGGACCAGCCTTGGGGCAATTAGTGAGGGTTGGGCTTTGGGTGGTTCAACTTTCACCGGCTTTGCTATTGTTGCCCTTCAGGTTGCTGTCTTCAGTGGTCTGTGCATAATTTATGGCTCCAGCCACCCACTTTGAATTCTGTCTGGTTCCTGGCGATGGATGAAGCCCTATTTCAATTATCAACAAACTTTTCGAGAAAAGAACAGAAATCTGTGATGTAATTGCTTTTGGTTTCTCACCTTTTGTCGCCGGAACGGGAACCGCAAAGCCAAAAGTCCGAGAGAGTTTTCCACACTGAGGAAACGAAAAACTGTGGAAACTCTGTTAATGGGGCTTCCCCGCTGCGTGTGGATAGGTTTTTCACTTGGCAAGGAGTGGCGAGTGGGAGGAGGAGCTTCTCAAAAGATTTTCCAATATCAATTGAAATTAAATTGAATTTTAAATTGGCCAGCGTGGCCAGAAGACATTGCCGAGGAGCACGGAGGAAACCCCTGGAAAATGTGGAAAACATGGGCGTGTGTGGGCTGATATGGGCGTGGCCCGAAGTTGGCCACACTTGTTTGTGACAGCCCAAGAGGGCAATAAAGCGAATGAAAAATGTTTAATGGAGTGAGTGTGGCAAGGTGGAAAAGTTCCATGTCAGACTAGTGTAATAAAACAGGGGGTAGGGGAATGCTCAACAGGACTCTGCTGGCCAGTTGAAAACATTTTCTAATATTTCTTTCTTCGCAGTCTAATGAAAAACCCTTGTTTGGTAGTGATAGCTAGTAAGTAATCTAGTGAAGTTAAGGTATTAGTCTATGAAAGCGTTGTATTCCTGAAGAGCGGTCCTATTTCTTTATGATTTCTTTTTGATTTCATGTTTTCTAAAAGCAGGAATCCCACCAACTGCCTTACATCTCCCCACCAACCGTTGCAGGGGGTTCCCAACTCGGAGACTTGACAGCAAAACGCCTCCCGACCGCCTTCAGTTAGTTGCGCAGTGAACAAAAGTGAAAGTAGGCATCACAAGGGGACTTGCATCCCAACAGGAGTACACACCATATCCTATATCCCAGATCGCATATTCCGCATATCCCATATAACGAGCACTCCGCATCCCATTCCCCTGCTTTTGTTGGCTCGCCATTGTGGACTTAAATGCACAATTTGCGCACAAAAAGCGCGGATTTGAAGGGAGGGGGCAGCCGGAGATTCACTGAAAGAAATGCTAGTCATTAGAGGCTTCAGAAGAATCAGACTTAAAGGTAATTTAAATTTAAAGAAAATATATAAATCAATATATATAAATGTACATGTAAAGCAGCGTAATCACGAGCTTCGTTAGAAACAACTTATCACTGTATTTTGTTTGCACTGAAAATAAGTTATTTTTTGAATTTCGATTCGCGACTGATTTGCTTGCAGTGTGCAGCGTATACCGATACACACACTTACACACTGGCACATTCAATGTACTTCCGGTGGCGGAACAGGAACAGGAGCAACTGCGAGCCGCGCCTGGATTCGGTTTTTGAAGTTGCTTTCAAGGCCCTTTGACAGACGCAGCGACGGATAATACACACTTAATTGCTCAAAATGATGCGATTGTGGAGCGTTGCATATGCCACATACACTCACACACGCGCCCGCCACCACCACACACACACACATACACACAGATACGCACGCACACTGGCAAGGAGAAGTACAAGTACATCGCCCATCTGCACCACCCGACGGACCAGCGAATGGAAAGCTCAGCCACAACTTTTTGGCGCGCTCGCCTTGGCAGGCTGTAAAAAGAGGAGGAAACTGGCGCAACAAGGAGGAGGGAGTTACCCTGCTTATGTATTTAAGCCACAACAAAGACACTCGAGAGCATATCATTGGCGTTTTGTGACGACCTCTCCGCACTTGAGCTCACATGAGCCGCAGGCCATAATTGCATTTAAGGGATTTGCACTCTGCCCTCGCCAGCCCCGTTCCCCTAACCTTTGCCACATGCGGCTGTGCGTACGAAAACATGCTAAATATGGTTCTCAAGGGGCAGCACTCTGGTGAAGAAGTTAGGCCAGCGAGGCTTGGGAAATCAGCTATAGCTGAAAAGAATGGCAAGGATTAAAGCTTCCAAGCCTTAGCAAGGTGAAAAACGCTTGATATCTGGGGCAACCCTATTTAAGAGTGCTATAACTTCTATTCATATAAGCTAACTCTTTAAAAATATATTGATAGTTTACCACAAAGGCTTTTAAAATATTAAATACATTTTTAATTATACGATTAGAATGGCGGTCTTCGGCATGTCCGAACTTTCTGACTCCCCAGCTGAAACTCGCGTCCTTAGACGACCCACAAAAAAGCAGCCGCAGCTCTGCGTTTTACTCGAGAACCACTCCACTTTCGTTCAATTCTGCTCAGTTCGAACCACTCCAGTGTGGAGTAGAGCCCCACCCCCCACATAAAGTGCCCTGCCCTCTATGCCCCTGGGGCACAGAATGCTACTCGCCTTGCCATTGTTTCAATTTTCATGTCGATTTGGCTGTTTTCGTTTTGATGACCTCGCCGCAGCAGCCGCAGAATCGCTCGGAATCTATAAATACTGGCAATCATTACAGGGTCTCATATTTTTATTGCATATTTTATAGGATCTCAATCTGCATTCGAGTGCGATGCAGCAGTGGCACAGGGGCAGCAACTTTACAATTTTTGTTTCTGCAATCCAATTGTCATTCATGACAGCTGTCGATCAGGAATGGCGGCTGAAAAATGTATCCGCAACAATGGGAAACGAGGGGGCAAACGGCAAACGGCAATCGAGGTGGTTGCTTTTGATTTGGATTCTCAAAATGTGCCCTCTGCGATTGAATTGAGTTCACGGTTCTCCGTTTTTCTGTGTAATTGCCACCTTTTGTCAGGGCGAATGTTTGGCATATTTTGTAAATTATATTCCCCGCAAGCTGTGCATTAGCATAAGCTTATGAGAGGTTATGTGATATGATATATCACAAACATATATGCAAATCCAGGGATCGATAGAGATGCTTACAATTGCCAGAAGAAAATCTGTATATCTCATCTAGTTTGATGAGAGTATAATAGCTACGAAATTGATTGGCTGGAGTTGGGCTTATCGAAGCATTGGCTGTCAAAGTTTGTAAGTCACCAATTTGAATATGACAACAAACAAACAAGAAGGCAGGCAGGTAATAAAAGCCTCCATAAAATGCTAGGCTTGTTCCGTACTTAAATGAGCTATAACACTTAGTCCACTAGTAAGGGGTATACCATGTCTTAAACGACTTAAAAGTAGCACCTTTAATGAGCCCATGCTTCCCTTTCACAATTCACTTATCCACTTTGTATCTGCCCACATCTTGAGCCAGCTGATTCTGATCGAATATCATGTAAAACCTCCTAGATTCCCCATCCTCGGGCCAATCAATTTCAGATGCGTCACACCTTGCCAGCGATTCGGCATCCAGTGTGTCTGCCATGTGGCGATGACATTGTCATGTGCCAAACAGGAAGGCAAAACACCTTTCCGAGATGTCAACGCCCGTACATTATCATCGAGTACCTACATTCAAATGTAATTCGCATCTGAATCGACTTTGGGCATTTGTACATTCTCAACTGCTGCTGGCGGAGACATCCGCGACGGGAAATGTGCCGACAATTGTTTTGCAAGCGGGCGCAACTCTTGGGCAAAGTACGGCAAACTCGGCAATCCGGTGGTTATCCTGTTGGCTGCAAAACATCTGTCGGATGTCATCGGAAGTTGTATCTGACGGCACGCCCCAAAACAAATTTGCCTGGCTGTTTGGAACTCACAAAAATTTCAGAGGCGTTGGCAGGGACTCAGTTGAAGTGTGGGCATGGCCGCCCTCTTCCACTCGTTCAACGCAAGCTGCTGGGAATATTTCACGGCACTTTGGGCGTGTTTGGTGTGCCTCGGCAGAAGTTACGGATATTATTCATGATTTTCCAACGTGCCATTGTGACATATGCCATTAGAGGAAGGAATTTGGGGTCTGAGGTGCGGGGTTGTCTTTCAGCGGAAATCACTTTTCAGTTGATAAAGCCGAAAACTGATAAAAGAAGGAACTGTAACAGGAATTAAATATCTGTACAGCATAAAATTCGTGAAAAAATAATTCAATAAGAACTGAATTACCTAATATATCAACAATTTCAAGCAAAATCTTTCGAATTCAGTTTATGCCAAGTTTATGCCTTAGTTTTCCTACGTCTTATTTGCAGAAGATAAAAACCACCATGAAGAATTGTATATTACAGCGTAATAAAGTCCAATGCTCTACAAGCACCAATTACTAAAACAAAAATCAAACCATCCACAATTTTTGTGGGCTTTCCTTGATAATGACGTGATAATTGCTTCTGTCTGATAAATCAGAGAGCGTCGTCCCGTTTCGGAAGCCTTGCAACTGACACATTCCACACCAACGAGCAACTCGGGCTGAGACACAGTTTATATTCGTGGCAAAGTTCAAAGGACACCTGCGGAGCGGTTTTAATTGCATCGCACAACACCAAAAGTGACAAGGAATCTTTTGGGTGCTGAGGACCGCCTGGCGCTAGGAAACAAAGTAATTACAAGGCCCAGTACAGACAGAAGCCGAGGCAGATGGGTAGAGCCGGGGGCAGAGGGAGAGCAGGATTCGACGATGATGAGGTACACTAAGGAAAATCTTGGTGTATTGATCTATATGGAAATGGTATTTATTAGGAGCATAGCTCTATTTTCATTTTAAAACTGAATAGAACTGAAAAAACTTGAAATCAAAATGGTTTGAAGCGAGCTCAAAGCTGGCGCCAGCTTTTTTCAGTGTAAAGGACATTGACAGCTGGCTCCCGGAAGAGAAAACCCGAAAACGCCACAACATTTATTCTTTGACGCTGCGGGGAGAGTGCGAGAATTCTATTAGCACCGTCAAGGAAATCGCTTTTCCTAATAGCCAAGCGCCACGTGTCCTGCGAAGCTTGAGTCCCCTGCTCAGTCGTGTGTCACGACCGAAGGACAACCGCAGCATCCTCCCCACTCCCGCTCCAAATTGAATGCTTCCCAGCTCGGCAAACAGTACAATTGAAAAATTATAAAAATTTCGCACTTTCCAGAAATACACAGTCGAACGAATCCTCGTAGCGAAAACCGGACGTCGTCCTTTTGCGGCTGCACTGTGAGATACACTTGTTCTCGGCAAAGGACACGCGTCACAGGAGGAGAGCGCTGGAAATCGAAAGGAAAAGGGGATGGCCAGACATCATCAATATTGCAGGAATCGCTCGGCAGATTGAGGCTGTCAAATAAGCGTAGCTAATGCGTATTAAGTGCTCTCCGCCCGGATTCATCGAGGGTTGTATGGCCCGTATGGCCCCATAGAGAAGTTGGCTTATTCACGCTAATAGCCGCAATTCATGCAAATGCTGCAGACAATAAAATATGCGTTGGGTGTCAGTCAAGCCAATTCGAGTCAACGGCAAGGTCAAATGGCAATGAATATTGTTAGGTGGCTGCATTTGGGGTTACCTCTCAGATGTCACAAGAATTTAATAACATTCTGGGCATTGACTTCAAAGTTACTCTTCCAGCGAAATTAAAAATGAACTCTTTTTGCGCATCTCTTTCTGATTTAATTTGTTTAGCCAATTGGATTGATTTCTCTTTTGTATCACATGGCAATACCTAAGTCTATGAAACGGCTTACAAAACTAACCTAAAGCGAGCCCTGCTTAGCCAAATAGAAATAACAACGTTTACAGCCCCCAGCTTTGCCATTTCTCAAGGCTCCCCACATTCCTAGAGGAACATTTCAATAGGATTTACTACAGCCTCTAGGAGAAATGCATCCCATTGAATTGCTGGCGATCGTTCTTCACCATGTTGTTGTACTTCCACTTGTCAGCACTCGAGGCTTGACTGCTCCAAGATCCCGATCCCGATCCCGATCCCGATCCTGATCCTGATCCTGAACCCGATCCAGAGCCGCTGCTCGACTTGGAGTAGTTCTGACCCTTCGTGGACTGGTTGTTCTTGGTGGTGCTGCTCAGGCACTTGTCGGTACGTTCGGTGTAGACCATGTTGTTAGTAGATATTCCTTCGGTTTCTTTCAAAATTTTCTGCCGATTACACAAAGCTGCGCTTCCAATGCGTTTGTAGAGAAGTCAAAGCTCACGGTACACTTTGCAACAGGGTGAGTACTTTAAGTTCCTTGTTGTTGGCCGAGTTTCCAGTGCGCGATCCTTTTTTCGATGACAGGTGTTTGCCCAATCTATCCAAAGCAAATAAGCAAGGATTTGTATTAGTAACAACTGCTAAAAATATTACAAATGTTTTTTTTTTTGGTTTTCTACCCACCTTGCTTGTTTCAACAATTTTTGTTTGGAATCCGTGTGGCTAATTTTTGGCATTGACACAAAACTTTTGCAAATTGCACATTGGATAGAAAAGAAAGGAAATTTCACAGCTCACGCTCCGGACAGCTCGTTACCGATCTGCTCTGCTCTGGACTTTCTACTGACCCTCCAGCGACTTCCACAACTGGTTTAAATACGCCGATCCAATCCGTTCCGTTCCGTTTCAGTCCGATACGATACGATACGATCCGTCGATCCGAGTGCAATGTCTGGCGGAGCAACTGCGTCACCGTTCTACCAGCAAGTAGCGTCAGTATCGCTGTGCCAGCTGCACCACCTCCAAGCCGCCAGAAACCTCGCTCGCACCGCCCCCGCACCACTCTCTCCCCCCGTTGACCTCAAACTCGGTCTCCGTCTGAGGCTAACCCGTTCCAGCAGACGACAATGCAAATTAGAGCTATAGAGCAACTGGTTTGATCCGCGAAAACGAAACGAAACCTTTGCAAGCAACTCCAGCGCCCTTCCAAGAATCGACTACAGTATACCTCTTAAAAAATAATAATAGCCCATAGTTTAGGTATTCTTTAACTATACGTTACTTCCCAAGCCAAATATACTTTATGAGTGGGAGGTGAAACTTTGTTGGAAGTTTATGAATATGGTTTAGATTAACAAATTTCCCGAAATTATCCCTTTTCTACTTTCTATGTTTTAATAATAATGTTAATGTTTTGCAATAATATTTGTCATTTTGAACTATTTTATTATGCTTACTGCTGGGAAAAGAACTTGTTATATTTATTCAGTATAACCATGTTTGTGAGACCTTAAACGCTTTACCAAGCAAGTCCTCTCGTATGCAGGGTATTACAACCACCCCCAGAAAACCTGCTATGTATCACGTAGTATTTTCCTTTGTCTCCTCTGAACAAACATGGTTATTAAGACTCGAAAAATGTTTAGAGTTGCCGGCCGGCGGTTTTTTGACACGTCACCCGAAACTCCGCAAATAGGGCTATTCCTTGATAAGTAGCCTCTAAAAATCTGATATTGAGTAGCACTGCGATGCATTCCCTAGATATGAATCTTTAATGATTAACAATATCGCCCGATTACTATTGATATATCGAATTATGCATGAACCGATAGCTGATGAAAAGTCTTGGTTGCATTGCATCAGCCATTTCGATCAAGAAAACAACTCGAAAGCCTGTTGCCAGTTAATAGTATTTTAATCTGTTGTTTGTGGATATATAGACATTATATCTGAATTATGCTCAGATCCAGAAAATATTAATTGTGTTCGGGAATTTTTTCTATTTTCTATATTGTCTATAGAAAATGAAAATTATTTAAATAGAAATAAAAATAGAAATACAACCTTAGGATTCCCCAAGTTGGGCCAAAAATGTGAAGCACGATTAAATTCCCCAAAATCTAGTTATACTTGCCAGTCATTTTTTTGTTGGATTCCAGCTGATATTCAAATGTAAAAAGCCCACAAAAACAGTTTCATAGGTTTAATGACATCCAGGAGCCCCCAATCTCCTACGCTCTTCTCCAAGTGGTTATCAAAATTCGAGTCGTTAGATGATTTCAAAAGCAGCAAATCGGATATTGAACGTCTGATTCGCCCTTTTAAATGTCAAAATCTGCATTTAACTTGTATAATATACAGGTACGTATGTCTGCCAAAAATTTTGTTCAGACTGCATTATGCAAATGGGCCAGACACATGGTTCAATAATTAAAAAACGTTCCCAGACACTGAACAAAGAAAGTAAAAAATGTATTATTTAAGCGTGGTGGAGCTATAAAAAATGCGTTTTCAAAATCTATATAAAGACAGAAGTGCTGAATACCTTAACATTTTACCAGATAGCGTCAAGAAGAATGCTCTACAGATCCTTGGGGAAACCACCTGCACCTTTATGCTCCAAAAAATCCCCTTCCTATTTTGTTTACTTGTAGATTTGTTTGGTGTTTGGGTTTGTTTATTCTATAAGAGATGTTTACGATTTGAGCTGTCAACGGAGGCCCGCGTGGCAAACTTGATTTCTATTGACGTTCCACGTGATGGCGTAAACAAGAAATTTGGCACAAGTCCGCTCCTCCGATTTTGCATCAGAGCCCAAAAAAACTAGTTTATCTCGATCACGCTCTCAGTTCGTGATGATATCAACTAAGTCCGGGGCGCTTTCTGCTATAAAAGCCCCTCTATCGGCTTGAAATCCAACACACTAAAGTTCGAAGGCCTGGCAGTCGATACCTAATCAGTGGTTTTTAAAAATATTTTCCCCAAAGTGCATAAACAAATGTGTCAATGAAGACACCGGACACCAAAGCCAAGTTGCTGAATAATATAAGGTGAGGATCACGACGGGCATCCAACTCAAAAACTGCTTTAGTGCACTCGTTTTAGTAGAACTTGCCCCGTTTCTGACCAAAACTAACTGACTAATGTGCCCCATTCTTTACTTGCAGTCTATCTAAACACCTGTCTTCCAAGAAAGGCGGCTCCCGCACTAGTAACTGCGGCAATTGTCTGGAATTCTCCGTGCTGACGCGTCTCTCCAGCGTGCCCTGAAGCCCCACTCGTCCAAGCTCACCCAAGCTCCTGTTGAAACTTGAAAGATAGAAATCCTTGACAATGGTTCACCAAACTCGCACACCCAGCAAGGCCATCCCCGCCAAGCACCTGAGTCCCATGCGAGCCGTGGAGGGTCTGGGCGGGAAGTACGCCGTGTCGAGCAGTCCGGCAGATAGTTTCCTGCGGAACACGAGGCTCACGGCCCAGAGCAGCGCCCAGCAGTCGGCCGCCTTCAAATACAACCAGATGGTCACCCAGAATCGGGAGCAGTTCAATAGCCTGCACTTCTGCTAGGAGGCGGATGGAGAGACCGCGTCGGTCGGAGGAGGAAAATGCCGCTACGATTGCGATTAGCGATTGTTTGTCACAATACTCGTACATAAATGCAATAAATTCATTTGCGCAAATTTCCACATATTAATTGAGTTTCATAAATCGCAGCAGTCACGTGCTGGGGCGGGGGGAAATTTATTTATTGCAACTTTTTTATTTTGCCAAATTAAATTACCCCAACTAAGCCTGCGAGCATTCGTCGCAGTCATTTTTCATTGTTTGCGGCTGTCTGCCTCACTTTGTCATATGCAAATGCGGCTGTGCGATTTTTGCACATTTGATATTCGGTTTTTTTCCACACAGGTGCCATATTTTTACATTTGCGCCAAATCAAAAGCTTTAATGTTCGCTGCCCGGGATTTGCATAAATCTTCATTGGCTTTAGGTTTTCTTGGGCGCTGCATGTGTGCTCTATGATGGAAAAGCCTTCCAAGGAAAGTTGATTAGTTTGCAACATAGCGAAAGTTGTTTGTCACGTTCTTTTTCAGAAACTTGACACCCTAATCTGGGTATCTTTGAATTTCTTAGGAACAAAATTATGAGCTCTGTGCTGGAAAGGCCTTCCAAGGAAAGTTGATAAGGTTGCAATACAGCGAAAGTTGTTTAGCTTGGTCTTAGTAACCAATTTTTTGTCCTAATTCAAAGCTAAAAATATATGTTTATGTTTATTGTGGGATTTAACGAACTTTGACACATTTTTATACGTGTGTCCATGACATTGTGTTGTTCCTATTCCTAGTTTAGCACAGCCCAAAACAAGTTGATCCACCCAGGAAAATACCTCCCCGAAATGCCACTGTTTAATATAGTTTATTAAGATCAGAACTAGATATTATAAGTCTCACTCAATGCGAATTAATTAGTCCCTTGAGCGGTTACTTCACCACCTGTTCCTGCATCTATGGGAAAAAGTCTAAAACTCTCGGGGGTCTGGCCCAGTAATTTATGCAAATAGCTGGACTCACATGCTAATTTAAACGTAAACAACGAACGTGTTTCAGATAGAATATATAAAACATATGGTGGCTGATCGGCTGACCAGTTAAGCTGGAAAATAGTTATCCAAACGAGGATGACTAAACTGTTGCCAGGCAGAAGAGCCGCAAATGTAGATCTCATAATTGCCACCCTGTGCGATCAGAGATTTTCTGGGTATCACAGTTGGCTGAATCGAGGCCATTAAAAGACAATCTGTTACATCGGAAGTGCACAAATCATCGCCAGCCACAGATCTTTATGCCCCAAAAACATTTTTATTATTCCACTAAATTAGGCGTTCAGTGGGAATTGAGTTATGTAACTAGGGGAGGGTGCTTTTCCAAGCTGGGGGAGGTGGGCGTCCAGATACTGTGTGTGTCCTTGTGAGCGATGCGTCGACAGTCATTAAATTATCACACATTTAACTTCAAAAACAATTCAAAAGTAGCGCTCAGAACAAAGGGCAACCCTCGACCCAAGAACTCCCTTATTTTCACCACCCCCCGTTTCCCCCCGTTCTTCCCCGCTTTTTCCGAACTTGACTTCCACCCCCGCCAAAAGTGTTCTTGTGGTCCTGCCGCATTACAAGTTGAAAACATGGTTATTACATCAGTAAGGCGCATACGGAGGGAGGGGGCTTTCGAGGGGTCAGGGGTTACTTGTGGGCGTTGCAAAATGGGCGATGGATGGATGCTGTCTTGTGATGATTATGACAGCATGACGACTTATCTGAAACGACCTATTTGCCACCCCCTCAAGCAGCTATTATGTCTAATTTAGTTTTTGTTTCTGTTTTTGCAATATGTCGACCATTAGCAGGGGGTGGGATGAACGGGCTGGGAATGGGATATGATTGGGGATGGGAATGGGGATGGCCCATGACGCGGCAGTAAGTGACGATAAATCATAAACGAAACATCAATTCCAGCACTTGACCCTAAAAGGACTCCCGTTGCGTCAAAATGGACAGTAATCTCGGCGTTCCCTTGTCCCTAATGTGTTAAAGAAAGTTACTAGTTTGATAGGCACTGTATGAGCACGATTCCTTAAAAAATTCCTTTAATACGCCATGTCCTGGTCACGTGTCCTCAGCTTTATTGCAAATTAATTAATTCCCAAGAAGATGAAGCGGCAGTGGAAGAAGATTGATTAAGAGACAGCCACGGTAACCCTTCCAAGCGGCTATCAACTTATCTATCACGCCAACACACCGAAAGGTTCGACTGGGTAAGTCAACAGAGAAAAAAGTTTTTAAAAAAAGTTTTAATTAAAAGTTAAAAGTTTTAATGAAATCGCCAACTCATAATCCAAACGTATTATATCTGCTTTAAATATATTCTATGTAGATCTACGGCTAATTTATTCTAATTTTAAAGTGCATTTTGAGTTAAGTACTCGGCATACTAATTCTAATTAATTCTCCCGGTGCACCGCCGTTTCGCCAGTTTTTCCTCTGACTCTTTCGCTCTGATGATTTATCGACATTTGTGCGGAAATCGCTGTGCCAAAAGCCAAAACGAAATGAAACGTTTTCCGAAGCAGACAAGAGAGAGTTTTCACATATGAAAGAGGGAGGGACTTGGGAAAAGCGGCGACGAGAGGAAGGAAAATTTCAGGGGATCAGACTTCTGGTTCGTCCATGTTCTTGGAGCGGAAACGCAATCGGCGCACTGCCAAAAATAAATTGATTACTGTCACGGAAATAGCTACAACACACATATTCCGTGGGGCACGGCTGCTCCAACTTTGTTTGTTAATCGATTTATTCGGAAAAGCACGAAGACGCGACTTGCTCGAAAATGTCTTAGTAAGCGGCTTAAATCACAGGTGAAACTGTACAGGGTGGCGGAAACTCGGGGGCTGTCTTCGGTTGGCGTCAGCTTCATAGATCACGTGACATGGCAATAAATAGTTTGGGCTGTCTATTAAAGACACCTGCAAGTTGGTTATGGCTAAGGTAGATAAGTTACTGAACATCTTACAGGGGGAGAAGATTCTGGAGGAAAAGTGTGGAAACTTGAGGCCATGAGAATGCACGCAATGTTCACGCCTTCAATTTGTGCGTGAGATACTTTTTTGCCATGGTTGTTGGCAAAGCAGACTATTGAGTTGATGATGATAATCGGATTAGACATCTGATTAAAACCTTTGGTGATTAACTTTTTTTGCCCTCAAGCGTGATAGTGGTGATTGGCATATATAGAATAGAATAGCTATGAGCCAAAATGCCGCTTGGGATTTGCGAAATCCAGTAGAACATCTATTATTTCTGTTAGCTGTCTAACTGCAAAGTTCATCCTTGAATGCCCAGACAACGCCTGAAACTCAAACCCTTTCCAGAAGAAGGAGTACATGGCGATTGAGTGGCGGTAACAAATGTATTAGAAACTTTCTCTGAATAATTTCCGCATTGGCAAAGAAAAGCGGACACGGTTATATGGATACTTCACTTTAAATTGCACTTCCGTGCGAAAAATTGTTTATCGGAAACTTTCGTTTGGACTTCCAGCCACCTTTTAACCACCACCCTGGAGTTTCGTTTTCAGACAGTGTGAATAGAACGTCGTTCGCAAAAAATCCCCCTCAGCCCCGCCCCGCTCCGATTTCGCAGTGGCGTGTCGATAAAGTTTGCACCTATTGTCATTTTATTGATTTGTTATAAATTTCTCACACTATACACACACGCTTATCTTTTCATGCGCTTCTATTAAATGTAAATGGCTGGAAAATGCCAAATGCCCCGCCCACAATTTGGAACGGACACGCGCCGGCCCAAAGGAAAACCCTTTCTGCAGCTTATCTACGATTTTTCAATAAGATTTCCTATCACTTTAAATTCCATTTTATTGCCGCAACGAAATAAATGATCGGGCTAGAGAGTGGGAAAGTCAAAAGCTAAAATGTCTGAACGTTAAAATAAATTGATACCGGGCAAGTTCTCTTTCAGCAAAGAGTTTTTCAAGTACGATTTCCCCACCCGCTCTCCTGATGCTTATCGATTTGGCAACACCTTGAGGAAAACTGGCAGGGGAGTGGAAACAGCTGCGGATGCTGCCCGGAAAAATTGTGAACGTCTCGGATTTTTCTCTCTCATTCACACTTGATTTGATAATCTGTCGTAAATTCAAACTTTTCACTTGTGAAACGCTCACAATTAAGTCACACTTTTAATGACGTGACGCAAATATTAAAACAGAGGACTTCCTGGGAAAAACCCACCCCCTCAGATTTTCCACCCCCCTTGCAGCTGTTGACAGCGTCCAGTAGCTGCCTTTGTTTTTGTTGTGACTGCTGTGCTAATTAGGCGAGACGTGAAAATTTTTACTTATTATTTTCCCTAAATTTTAACGACCTTCCTTCAAACGAAAGTTGAACGGAGCCCATTCAAATGATATTTTATATGGTGCAACATTTTGGAATTAGTATCTCGAGAATTACGGTAATTGTCAAAGTGAATTTTAATTAGTAAACTCCCAAAGTGCCGAAAGTGAACAAGTGTCGAGGTCCGGAGTATACAGGGCATGTTGAATCTTTAAGTATTGAAACTTGAAGATTCGCTAAGTAAATTAAAGTTGCTAGCAACTTCCCCAAATGTTTTTGGAAATTTTAAGCATAGTCCAAAAAACATTTAAAAATTCTTGTCTTGCAAATACGTCTATGATTAAATAATATTTCAAATAATGACTATGACTAATATTTCAAAGTTGCAGTCTAAATAAAACCCCTAAAGGTATGCTAGAAAATTGTGTTAATCGCACATGTAAGATACGTAGAGGAAACGTAAGAAATGTGTAGAACATCATTTTACACATCTTACCTTGAATTTCTTTTTCCTCCTCTTTTGTTTTAAGATTTTAAAATATGTATAAGATATTAGATACAAATATGATAGCATCTTTAGCGGATGAAAAACAGTTTTAATAATTTTTTTAAATTAAAATACTCATTTATTTTTGTTATTATAATATACATCAATTTAATTAATTTTTTTTTTAAGTACCGGATTAACCTGGGCGAGCAAATGAAAATTTAAAACCGTTACATAACTGTTACAACTGAAAACTCGATAGCTAAACATTACTCATCCCAACTCGTAATAAATCTGTTCAGCTCGTTGCTTTGTTCTACTCATTAAAATTTATCACTGGAAGTGAAATCCCCTTCCAGTCTTGGCACTTGCAATTTCGATTATATAATCTGCATACTCATTCGGCCCTCCAAAGGTATATTCTCCTGCCCCCTCTCATATGACCCCTTGGTTTGGCAATCTAATGGGCCACCGCAAATTGCTCATGACTGGCGGGGAGTATGTGTTGGATTGCTTGGATTAAGTGTATGCGAGTATATCGGAAAACTCTGTCTCGGCTAGAAGTAGGAAAATGCAACAGGGCAGTTCAACTCACGGCAACTGCAGTTAGCCAAGTTGGATCTGAGTTGCTGTTGCCTTGGCTTTCAGTTGATCGCGGATCGTGGCTGTGTCGAGTTGCAATTTGAATTTTTATAGGAAATCGGAAGCCAACAGAGGATATAGCTGGTACTTTACTCTTGAAATATACCATTCGCCAATTTTAAGGCCAATAAACTAAACAGAAAATGTCTTTATAAAGTCTTTAATCAAGCTAATTCAGTTACAGCCTAAAACGTAAATATAACAAAAATGGGTCACAAAAAATGCATAAGCATTAAATCCATTACGGTTTAAAATAATTATAGTGCAGGAACAGTGGACAAGACAGCAGCTAATCAACAGGTGTAATACAAAATTGGTATATTAGGCTTGCAGCCCAAATCCATAGTTAAATAATTGGGCGGACACCTCTTAATGGTCGCAACTTTGTATGAAACTCTTGGGAAACCTGTCGCTGAAAGGTCTGTCCAAAAGACAATAGCCAACTAAATTCCGGTCACGATCTTAGCATATTCACAGATTAAACGTTCGAGTTGCAAGTGCAACCAAGTGCTGCACTGCAGAAACAAAGTATCTGAAACACCAAGTGCAATAGTGACCTTCTGTCTTCCCTGTGTTAACTTTGATATTTGGGCTTTGTGGCACTTAGCTAAGAGATTTCGTAGACTTACAAATTTGATCAAGTTCTATGGGGTACCGTTCGTGTAAATATAACGAAATTTTTGACATTACATAACTTATATTGATAGTGACACAAATAAAAATAATAAGATCCATTTCAAATTCAAAGAAGATGAAGATTTAATCAAGATAGTAATGAGTGACCACGTACATTACCCTTTTGCTCCAATATTACAAGAAAAATAAACCTTTTTTAGCAATGAAGTTGCTACCCCTGCCTTTATTGGCCTTTTTACTGACACCGGAACCCAATGACGCGGCGCAAATTTTGGGCTTGTTTCAACATCCCGGAAAGAGCCACTTTGACTTCTTCCGACCCATGTTCTTAGCCTTGGCTGGGAGGGGTCACAACATCAGCATGTATAGCTATTTTCCACTGGAGAAACCAGTGGCCAACTACACGGATTACGTCTTTCAAGGAATGCCGCTGCTCACGGACGTCGTTGACTTACGGGTAGGTGAAAGCAAGTTCAGATATATTTTATTATTTTGTATTAACTAGTGACTTTTAGAACTTTGAATCGGAATGGAAGCCCCTTGGACTGCCGTTCAAGGTGCCCACCTTCTTTATGCTTCACGATTGGGGTCTGCGATCCTGTAAGGTGGCCCTGAACTCTCCCCTCATCGCCCAACTGCTCCGGTCCCCCATTCGATATGACGTCATACTCCTGGAACACTTCTCCAACGATTGCTTGGCAGCGGTGGCCCACCTGCTGAATGCACCTGTAATCGCACTGAGTAGCTGTGCGATAATGCCGTGGCACTACAGTCGAATGGGCACTCCGTTCATTAACCCCATCATGCCCATGAATTTCCTGCCCTACACTGATCAGATGAGTTTGATCGATCGGCTGAATAATTTCATTCATTTCCACACCGTAAATACACTGTACAAGTGAGTGTCACTTGCCTCGATCCTCAAGTGCTCACATATCTGACTCGATTTTCCCTTGAACAGTATGTTTACCCAGCCAGCCACCGATGCCCTGATCGGTCAGAGATTCGGACCCGGACTGCCCCCTATCAATGAGATCGTGAAGAATACGAGTCTGATGCTGATCAATCAGTATTACGCCCTTACCGGACCACGCCCCTATGCTCCAAATGTGATTGAAGTGGGCGGGCTGCAAGTGGGACCGATAAAACCACTTCCACAAGTACGTTCAATCACTTTTCACTTCACTTCAGCCTATGGCAAATGGGCAAGAAACTCTTTGGAACTTTCTTATTTGCCCAGATAACCTGTTATCTTTATTAATCACATTAACTGTTTGTCTGCGGGTCACCAAACTTCTTATCAACTTATCTCATTTCATTTGAATCGTTCAGCATATGCATACAGCAAACCAATAAAACAAAAGATAAAGTGTGGAAATATCGATTGGAGAGCTATATACATGAGCATTCATTAATTAATTCGTTAGTCGAACAATCGCATTGGAAAAATAAACAAAATAGTCGAAGTGAATGAGATTACCGAATATTAAACGTATTTTAAAGTAGGTCAACATTCAAAAGCATGTGTTGTTATACAAACAAATGCTGGCAGAATATGTTTAAATTAATCCAGAGTTGAACGTAATCATTTTCGTTTCAGCACCTGCTAGATCTTCTGGATCGATCCCCCAATGGAGTAATCTATATAAGCTGGGGCTCCATGGTAAACAGCAATACACTCCCTTCGGTCAAACGAAGTGCGCTTTTCCAAAGCATTTCCCAGCTTAAGGAGTACAACTTTGTAATGCGCTGGAAAAGTATGGAATCTCTGGAAAACGACAAGCCCTCGAACCTCTTCACCTTCGACTGGTTACCCCAAAGGGATCTCTTGTGCCACCCAAAGGTTAGGGGTTTTATCTCCCATGGAGGACTTTTGGGCACCACGGAGGCGGTTCACTGTGGAGTACCGATGCTTGTGACACCTTTCTACGGAGATCAGTTTCTCAATTCCGGTGCAGTGAAACAAAGAGGTTTCGGAGTTATCGTTGACTTCGCAGACTTCGATACGAATCACATAACCAGAGGACTTCGTACTATACTAGATGAGAAGTAGGGGTTTCCAAAGAAGCAATCTATTCCGACTTCCTCGTATATTGTTTAGTATTGAAATTGTATTATTTTACAGATTCGCGGAAAGAGTTAGACGATCCACCGAAGCCTTTCGCCAGCGTCCCATTCCCCCTCTCGAGTTGGCCACCTGGTGGATCGAGCATGTCATAAAGTATGGGGGGGCTCCACTTATCCAAGGTGAAGCCAGACATATGAACTGGATCGTCTACAACTCCATCGATGTTCTCCTGTTCTGGCTGGGAATCTTATTTCTACTGATTGTCGCCCCGTGGAAGCTCGTAAAAATATTCATATCAGCGTTTGGTCGGGGAAAAATCTCTAAAGATACTAAGGCAAAGACGCAATAAGTGATAAGTTCAATGAACTTGAAATTGAGGCACAGAAATAAATAAATGTCAAGAAATTGGTTCGCTTGTCAAAAAGCTTATTCCAAATAAAATTTACTGTATATATATTTTTTATTAATGTTACACAACTAAGCTTTTTGTGAACGAAAAGGTAAGCAAACCAAAACCGCTACTGAAAACTGCTTTCACTTTCTAATTTATATTATCAGCTGTATCATTAACAGTGTCATTTTTTATTACATTTAGTAAGCAAATAATATAAGTAATTTTCAAAGTATTAAAAACTTAGGAGCTTGCTAAACGTGGAATATTTCAAAGATTCCAAAAATATCTATGCTTGTCGATCGCCCGAAAACAAGCCCCATCTATTAAATGTAAACAGTCGGCAGCCTTGGAGCAAACCACGCATACTTCGGCTGATAATGAATCGGCAGACTTGTCTTAATAGGCTTTCTAATGCCGGTAGTTCATTCTCGTGAGCACGAGGGCAATTTTCCGCTCTACACTCTCCCGAACTTTGATTGTTGAAAAATTCTTACAAGAAAGCCCGAAAAAAGCTCCCCCAAGGTTCGTTGTTGTTGATATATAACCATAAACAAACAAGAGAGAATGCTATAGTCGAGTTTCCCGACTATTAGACACCCCTTACTGAGCCAAACGAGAAATTTCATACATCTGAAATATCTGTAGAAATTGGGAAATAAATAATAACATGAAAAAAAACTTAGGCGGTTTGTGGGCGTAGCAAAAAGTTTTTAGGCAAATCTATAGAAATTAACAAGATATATACAAAAAAATTAAAAAAATATCACAATAATTTTGAAACGTGTGGGCGTGACATGTCCAGTTCGACTCGGCTATTGATCATGATCGAGAATATATACATATACTTTATACATATGATCGAAACGCGTCCTTCTGCCTGTTACATACTTTTCGACGAATCTAGTATACCCGTTTATGTTACGAGTACCCCGTTACGAGTAACGGGTATAAATATATAAACTTTATAGCTAGTTTAAAAATTGTTGCAAAACTGTGTTTCCTTTTTTCTTAAAAAGTCTTAGTGTTTTATAAAATATTAATTTTTTTGGAATTCTTAGAAACTCAAATTACTTAAATGCTCTTCAATGGCAATGATAAAACTTTAGCTACAAAATAGTCAACTTATCAACACCGCCGAAGACTGAGATTGATTTCCGATCGCCGACTGAGCGTTTTTGGCTGTGGACTCGAGCGTTGACCGAAAAGCTTTTCATTCGGATGTATTCGCTGAATTTAGTCAGTCGCTCGTCGGCAGTGTTACAAGTAAGTAGTATGGGAGGTGAGCAAGAACAGGATTTATGTTCGAAACCGACGACTCCACGTTTTGGATATTTGTGTGTGTATCCAGTTCAGCGGTTCAATTGAATTCCGGATGAAAGACCCTCACCAGGCGATAATTGGGGATTTTTAGGAGAGTGTGTATGCAGTGCCGCTTGTGATGCAATTGCCGTGGATTTTGTTGTGCTTGTGTTTTCCTTCGCTGCTTTCGCCCGCATTCTTTACATAATTTCCCTGCATTTCTCGCATCCGCGACATGCGCATTGCCGCCCACCGCCCCACTCAAGGTCGAACGAAAATACTGAAAAGCCAAGAAATCCAATAGTCAACAAGTGTTTCTGCTACTGTTCTGTTTCTGCACAAGGTGCTTTGCTCAGGATAATCAGTTCTATGCCGATTGTATTTCTAAATTCAGTTTTCGGTTTTCAGATATCAAAACATTTCTTAAAAATAACTGAATTTTAAATAATCAGCTAAAAAATTCAGCTTCAAAATGTACATCTGCCATACAAAGTAGTTTAATGTGGCTGTATCATTTTCTATAACATTTTCGAACTACAATAAATCACTTTACGAGCCTCTTATAAGTTTTCTATCACAGGTCACGAATAGTACAATTTCCATTTCAAAACAAAATTCTTGCCAAGTGGTCTTCAGTCATTATTAATTAGGACACAATTTTGTTTTTATTTTTACGCGTTTCATTTCAAACTAATAGACTATATTTTATTTGCAAAAGGGTACAATGTGGTCGCCACGGGTTGTCCTACTTTTCCTGGCTCTTGCATTAGGCCAACCGGACGAGTTGGTGGAGGCCGCTGGTCCGCTGAAGGTGCTGGGACTGTTTCCCCATCCCGGAGTTAGCCACTTCCACTTCTTCCACCCCATCATGAAGGGTCTGGCCGAGGCGGGACATGACGTGAGCGTGGTTTCCCACTTCCCGGACAAGCATCCGGTTGCCCACTACAAGGATTTCCCCCTCACCGGGATGGACAAGCTCACGAATAGTGTTGATCTCAAGGTGAGTGAAATGGGGAATCCCATGTTCGTGCTTTAGCTAACTGAAAGGTTTGTAGTTATTGCCTTTTGAAGAAAATTTACCGAATAGGTTTAGATCATAGTAATATTTTTCTATATATTCCGAGTATTCCAGATGATTTACGATGTATTATTTAAACAACTTTATACTTTTAGTTTTTCGAGAAGCGCACATTCTACAGTCACTTCCAGGAGTTCTTCCTGCTGTACGAGTGGGGCAAGCAGAGCTGCAACCTAACGCTCCGTTCGGAAGCACTGCAGCAGATCCTGAGGCGTCCGGGACGCTTTGATGTGATCATCATGGAGCAATTCAACACCGACTGCATGATGGGGGTGGCCCACAAGCTCCAGGCGCCGGTAATCGCACTCAGCAGCTGTGTGATGATGCCCTGGCACTACGAGAGAATGGGAGCTCCTTTGATACCCTCGCACATCCCGGCGCTCTTCATGGCCCAGTCCCAGCACATGGACTTTGGCGGACGACTGGCCAATTGGTTTAGCACCCATGCCTTGAATTGGATGTACAAGTGAGTCTCATAGTTTGCTTATGAATTTCATGATATATTCAAATGAACTTAATGTTTTCGGTTGCAGATTACTATCGGTTCCCGCTGCCGATGCCATGGTTCAGTACAAATTTGGACACGACGTGCCCTCGGTAGGTGAGCTGGTGAAGAACACATCCATGTTCTTCGTGAACCAGCACTACTCGCTGTCAGGACCCAAGGTAACGCCGCCCAATGTCATCGAGCTGGGTGGCATACACATCCAGAAATCGAAGCCCCTGCCCGCCGATCTGCAGAGCATTTTGGACAATGCCGAGGAAGGAGTGATCCTGATCAGTTGGGGGTCAATGATCCGAGCGAATTCCCTGTCGGTGGCGAAAAGGGATGGCATTGTTCGGGCGGTGGCTCGATTGAAGCAGAAGGTTATCTGGAAATGGGAGAACGAAACACTGCCTAATCAGCCATCCAACATGTACATTATGAAGTGGCTGCCACAACGCGATATCCTCTGTCATCCCAACGTCAAGGTGTTCATGTCCCACGGAGGACTCATGGGCACCTCGGAGGCAGCTTACTGCGGAGTCCCAGTTGTAGCTACACCCATGTATGGCGATCAGTTCGTCAATACGGCCGCTTTGGTCGAGCGCGGCATGGGAACTATCCTGAATTTCGAGGACATAGGGGAGAACACGGTGATGAGGGCACTGAAGAAGGCACTGGACAAGAAGTGAGGCCACCATATCATACACTGTTATAGCCCAAACTTAACGTTCGTGATTTTCAGGTTCCATGATGCTGCCAAGGCAGTCTCCCACTCGTTCCACCACCGCCCACAGCAGGCCCTACATACAGCCATTTGGTGGGTGGAGCATGTGGCCCACACTGGCGGAGCTCCTCTGCTGAAGCCCAGTGCCGTCGAGATGTCCCGATTCGTGTACTACTCCCTGGACGTCTACGCCGTGTTGGCCGTGGTCCTGGGCAGCATCATTGCCAGTTGGGTGTGGCTCCTTCGACACTGCTGCGGATCCAGTGCTGCCCAGAAGACCAAGAGGGATTAGGTCGCCTCTTCCCTGCACAGCTTTGTTTGTGGTCTATGTGATATTTTGTACGAGTATGTTCTGTGTAAGACATTTTTAATTCTAAAGACGCCTACACCACGGATTGTATCTAGATGTAATAGTGACGCCAAATGAAATTCAAGTTTGCTACGATTGGGATTTACCCGTTTAGAACGAATATTGTTTCTAGTATGGGAAATCAAAAAATGTTATATAATATATTACCCTCTTTTCAAAAGCATTGCGAATCAGGAATGTTGATAATTTGATGATGCCAAAATAAACAACATATTTTTAAATAAATGGAAATAAACCATTTAGTGGAAAGAAAATATCTGAAAATTGTTTCTAGTATGGAAATATAATTAGAATTTAAAATATTAATATTTACATTTTTTAAATATTTCCCCCTTTTTGACTGACGTGCTTATCAGTAATGCTTAAATGCTCCAAAATTTGTAGGTGAGAATTCCTATTACATTTTGTTGATGATATTCTAAGAAAAGAGAGATGTTTCTATTTCTACATACTGGGATACTCTTAAGTGCCCTCCGAAAGATTGAATTATGTATATATGTATGCTTTCGCCGCCTAATCGAGATCTTTTTCTACTCGTCGGTGTCAGTTGGGGCTCATCTTCTGGCCGTTCCGGATCTATCTCCCTGTGTAAGCCGAACGCCGGTGATTACTATTTCTGTTTGCTAATTGTAAAGCGGAACCATATTCGCATTCGTTAAATTTAGAAGTGCATTCCACAGCATGTAAAACTCATATCATCACGAAAATCGATTTTATAAGGCCCTGTCCCGCTGACTCAACTTGAACTTGACCCTTTCCCCTTGTTTTTTTAGAAAAATGTGTGGCGGGAAGGCTTTCTGCCTGCTGGCGCTACTGTCTCTGGTCGTGTCCAGCGACTCCCTGCGAATTCTGGGTCTGTTTCCGCACCCGGCCATCAGTCACTTCAAGTTCTTTCACCCAATTATGCGCGGATTGGCCGAGGCCGGTCACAGTGTGGATGTCATCAGTCCCTTTGAGGACCAGGACCCTCCAAAGGGATACAAGGACCTCCTACTACCGCCAAACACCTTGACTGACACTATTAACTTACAGGTGAGTTGTAAAGTCATGACAAAATGAGTGGGTATACCCATGTCAATAAGTCGACGTTTTTAATTATCTAAAAAAATGGTGTATACGAAGCATGTCATAACTAATGTGATAAGTGGTGGTGTTATTACATTTCAAACGATATGAACTCTGAAATTTGTCAGCGTAACCCCCAGATATACTATTATGGTATTCAGCTTCATTAAGCACTTATCACTGCTTTAAACCTATTTTATAAGAAACCAACTTTTCTATCGATTTACCAGGACTTCGAACGGCCTTATCACTTCCTATTTCCCTATATCGAGTTCTTTATTTTGTACAACATGGGAAAAGAGGCCTGCAATACCACACTGCACAGCAGAGCCCTAACCGAGATCCTAAAGAATCCTCCTGGCTACTACGATGTTATTTTACTGGAGCAATTCAATACTGACTGTGCGATGAGTGTGGCCCATGTGCTCCAAGCTCCGGTCATTGGAATGAGCAGCTGTGCTCTGATGCCATGGCACTACGAACGATTTGGAGCCCCTCTGATCCCATCATATATATCAGCATTGTTCCAGGGACAATCCCAGGAGATGTCCTTTGTGGCACGATTGCGCAACTGGATTACCGTGCACTCCCTCAACTTGCTGTACAAGTAAGTGGTCTATACATAATTACCGGTTTCGACCACATCCAGACATTAATCTCGTCTAGAATATATACAGTTCCCACTGAAAATTCCTTGATTCGGCAAAGATTCGGCCCTGGTCTGCCGTCCACGGAGGACTTGGTGAGGAATACTTCTTTGATGCTGGTCAACCAGCACTTTTCGCTCAGTGGACCAAAGCCTCTGCCCCCGAACGTCATCGAAGTGGGTGGTGTGCACATAAGTCCACCAAAACCTCTGCCCCCAGATCTTCAGAAAATACTGGATAACGCCTCCAATGGAGTCATCCTTATTAGCTGGGGCTCTCAGCTGAAAGCTAGTTCTCTTCCCGCTGCCCGACGAGATGGAATCGTTAGAGCGATTGGAAGATTGGAGCAGGAGGTCATCTGGAAGTATGAAAATGACACGCTGCCCAATAAGCCACCAAATCTCCATATCAGGAAGTGGCTGCCTCAGCGAGACATCCTCGCTCATCCAAATGTAAAGGTATTTATGTCCCACGGTGGCTTGATGGGCACGACGGAGGCGGTGTCCAGTGCTGTACCCATTGTGGGTGTCCCAATTTACGGCGACCAATCGCTCAATATTGCCGCATTGGTGCAGCGAGGAATGGCCCTGCAACTAGAGCTTAAGAAACTGGATGAAAATACTGTCTTTGAAGCGTTAACCAAGGCACTGGACCCTTCTCTCAAAGCAAAAGCCAAGGAAGTGGCCTCTGCGTACAACAACCGCATCCAGAGTCCCATGGAGACGGCCATTTGGTGGGTGGAACATGTGGCGGAGACGAAGGGAGCTCCTCTGACCCAACCAAGTTCCGTGCATCTCTCCCGCTTTGTTTATTACTCCTTGGACGTATACTTGGTGGTGTCCCTAACCATGCTACTACCTGTGATCATGCTCTTGGGATTGATCCGCATGTGTAAAAGAAGAGGCCCCAAAGAAGACCACAAGCTAAAGCGCAAATAACCCAATGAACTTTTTGGTTTTCAAGGATTACTAAATTAAATAAAATTATGAAAATACCAGTGATATTTCCTAATATATTTCCATCCGTTGATTAGGCAATCTTAAATAAATATATATGATATATTATCAGATCATAAAATACATTTTACCAGAACAGAATTGGCAATTCCAAAACACCACCTCCGTGAAGTTTAAAACCCCAATTAAGATTTATATAAAACAGTTCACTTTTAATAAAAATATATATACAAAATCAAGATCCCTTCCCTTACAATTTGGCCTTGGCCGCACCCGGGAAACCCAGACGATACAGAGCAACCACTACAGCTCCTCCCAGTCCCAGATTGTGCTGCAGAGCCAACTGTGCATTGGGCACCTGGCGCTTCTCAGCCAATCCACGGAGCTGCCAGCAGAGCTCAGCACATTGAGCCAGACCTGTGGCGCCCAGAGGATGGCCCTTCGAGATCAGACCACCACTTGGGTTGACCACGAACTTGCCACCGTAGGTGTTGTCTCCAGCGTCGATGAATTCGCCGGCCTTGCCCTCTCCACACAAACCAAGTGCCTCATACGTGACCAACTCGTTGGCCGAGAAGCAATCGTGCAGCTCCACCACCTGGACATCCTGGGGCTTGTACCCACTCTTGGCGAACAGACGCTGGGTGGCCAGACGGGTCATGTCGGTTCCAGCAATCTTCATCAAACTCTTGTCGGCAAAGGTGGAAGCCGGGTCGCTGGCCATCTCCATGCCCACAATCTCCACGGCCTGCTTTTCCAATCCATGGCGGCGCACGAAAGCCTCGGAGGCGAGAATGGCAGCTCCAGATCCATCGGAAGTGGGACAGCACTGCAGCTTTGTCAGCACTCCCTCCACAACCTGGGGCGACTTCATAATCTGCTCCAGGGTGTATTCATCGCGGAACTGCGAGTAGCTAAAAGCAACAAATGGGAACAGATAAAGCGGCATGTGTGAGGATCAGCTGCATGCAATACGACCATAGGAGTGGATGATGGTCTACGGTCTACTTATTTCTCTGCTTTTAGCGATAAGATAAGCGCACGCGTAAGGTGAACTTTCGACTAAACTTACGGATTATTGACGGAGTGCTTGTGGTTCTTCCAAGCGATCTTGCCGAAGTGCTCGGGCTTAGTGCCATACTTCTTCATGTGTTCCTTGCCGGCATTGCCGAAGATCTGGGCAGCCATGGGACCAGCTCCAATCTCGGTCAGCTCACTCATCTCGGTGATGTGGCGCTCCATGGGATTGGCGCGATCAAAGTACTATTAGAAGAGCAAATAATGGATCAGTATTCGGTTTTGTAAGGAGTGCCACTTTTACCTTTGAGGACAGGGATCCACGCTCCATCTTTTCGAATCCCAGAGCTAGGACGCAGTCAGAGTTTCCGCTCTCCACGATCTGTTTGGCCAAATACAGGGCACTCGATCCCGTGGAGCAGTTGTTGTTGACGTTATATACCGGAATGCCGGTCATTCCGACCTCGTAGATGGCCCGCTGTCCGCAGGTGGAGTCTCCGTAAACGTAGCCGGCCACCGCCTGCTGCACTTCCTCAAACTTGATGCCTGCATCCTGAAGAGCTTTCGTAATGGCTTCTTTGGCGAAGTCCGGGTAGCAAACATCAGCTCGGCGACCGGGCTTCTCAAACTGCAAGAAATTGGAAGAAGATGGTCGGATAGATATCAATACCCAAGGCGGCACAAAGGTCAATCTTCCGCAGACGAACCTTGGTCATGCCCACTCCGATAACGTAAACTCTGGTCTTGGTCATTTTTCGGCTGTTTTTTCTCTGCGGGATCGCGGATCGGACTTTCTGTATCGACTGAAGTGGATTAACAGGTTGCGGACTTATATACGAAAGATATGATAAGACCAGCACTGTCGGATCAGCTTGTTTCCCGTTGAATTTATTGTTCACTTTCTTTGCACTTCAAAAACTGGAAGCCCATGCATACCACATGGTCATTAAATAGGAATCTGGATCGTTTAGAAAGTCTGTCTAGTTAAAATTGTATATATGAACGCTTTTCTTGTTTGCTTATTAGTTTAAGTTCGCTAAAAAACACATCACTGTCAACAGGGCTACCAGCTGTTTTACAATGTTTTAATAATTTTCAATGCTTCCAAAACTGTGGGCTGGCATAGGAGAACTCATGTAATGTTAAAAAAGGAACTTATTTACATATACATATTTATGGTTTAATTTAAATTTTGATTGCTATAAATTTTCGGGTTTTTTTATTTTTGTTAACAGTGGTCATTAAATGGGAATCTGGATCGTTTAGAAATTCTGTCTAGTTAAAATTGTATATATGAACGCTTTCCTTGTTTGCTTGTTAGTTTAAGTTCGCTAAAAAACACATCACTGTCAACAGGGCTACCAGCTGTTTTACAATGTTTTAATAATTTTCAATGCTTCCAAAACTGTGGACTGGCATAGGAGAACTCATGTAATGTTAAAAAAGGAACTTATTTACATATACATATTTATGGTTTAATTTAAATTTTGATTGCTATAAATTTTCCGGTTTTTTTATTTTTGTTAACAGTTCCCTCGTTATTAAGTCTGAAATTAATTTTACACTTTGTA